TGGGCATGGAATGAGACGGGTCAACGTGCACAGATGGTGCCTGAATGATAAGCAAAAGTGTTTAGTGGGGGGAGTGTAGATGTGTGCTATATCATGCAAAACAGGATTCCCCTCTGCTATTTGGAAATAAAAGTCTGATATAAACTATATAAATATATATTATAATGCTTAGAAGGTAAAACACTCTACCCAGTTCACCCCGATCGTTTAATGAAACTAAGCAGGAAAAAGTCCGACAATTACAAGCATAACACATCAAAACCTAATCAGTATACAGCAACTTTATTACTTTAGCCAGCAAGCGGCACAGCAACCATTTTAAATACTAGCAGTGTGGGCATGGAATGAGACGGGTCAACGTGCACAGATGGTGCATGAATGATAAGCAAAAGTGTTTAGTGGGGGGAGTGTAGATGTGTGCTATATCATGCAAAACAGGATTCCCCTCTGCTATTTGGAAATAAAAGTCTGATATAAACTATATAAATATATATTATAATGCTTAGAAGGTAAAACACTCTACCCAGTTCACCCCGATCGTTTAATGAAACTAAGCAGGAAAAAGTCCGACAATTACAAGCATAACACATCAAAACCTGTATACTGATACAGCAACTTTATTACTTTAGCCAGCAAGCCTCTTTGCTAAAACTGACTTGACTTAAACTGTAAGTGGACATCAGGGAAAATAACACGAAAACTTCCCAAAGGAGCAGGTTTTCAAGTGAATTTGTTAAAGCCAGATCACTTCAGTTCTGGCAGTACTGTCGTATGGTACCCTATTTATTTATTTTATTTTATTTTATTATTTAATACCATGTCAGCACAAGGTTATCTTCATGGCAAAATACAATTAACAAGAAGCTACACAAGACATGTAAGATTGATACTTGACAAAAAAATCTAAAATACATTCAGGTGATACTTTTTAAAATACATCAGTAAAACACATCTCTGAATAAAATCATTGTCTATTTATGTAAAAAAACATTAAAAAAAAAAAGTACATTCCAATAAAAAATGTTTAACAGTCATTGTAGTTTTCGTATGGTATCCTAAAAACTACTGGCTTGAAACACTTCAGTCATATTGAAGTATGTTAAATGTGCTCGATGCATCACTTCCTTTGTCAGGAAACAGGTGGTGGATACTCAAGAATGTAGTTAGAAATTAAGTTAGAAACCTCTGAAATCTGCATTTTTTTCCAAATACATGCAATGTTGAGAGTCTTCACATAAAATATCACATATGCAAGTCAGTTGGCCAACATCTGCGTAATTCAAAACTACATATTTCATGTAATGCAAGGCAAAGCAAACTATATTGTACTTTGGTACATAACGTGTTTATACAACTACTTAACCTAATGTTTACTATAAGTGATGAAGAACAGGCTTCGCCTTCAGAATCTGATGGATAATGTGGTTAGCACGTTACCTTTGGATTTCCTGCCATATGGTACGTTCTTGATCGCTTGATGTACCATTTGAGGCCAGCTGTGTCCAGTGGATCTAACAGTACACAAGAAAACAAAGCCAATCAGAAACTACCAAAACATTAAAGGGTTAGGTTCACCCAAAAATGAAAATTCTGTCATTGAGAGAGCACAGGTTGAATTGTTGACAGAGGTTAAGTAGTCAAACAGTTCACTAGATCAGTAAAAAAAAATATATATATATATATATATTCGAAAATCAGATAAACACACATTCTATGTTAATATGTCAAATGAATTCTGTGACTGTATAGTTAGGCTAATAAACTATACAATTCGGTTAAAGAATGGTTTATTCTGATTACTATTATTAATAAGCATAACTATTCATTGAACACTGGTGTATTTTATCATATTGCTGTATGCACTGTTTTATAAAAGCAATTTGTGTACATAGAAAAAGTCTTAGATCTTTGAGTTCAGCTCATGAAAAATGGGGGCAAAAACAAAAGTGTTGCGTTTATAATTTTGTTCAGTGTAGTTCTTTACTTAGAAGTTAGAACCTTAAAAAAATTTGTCAACAAATGCACAAACAATATGTCCACATCATAGTCACCTTGGAGTGGCTCTTATTCCGATTTTTTGACATCTTTGTATCCACACGCTCATCCTCAGCTGTGGATACTGTCCTGGGGATCTTAAGAGGACTTTCAGCCTGGGACACATTGAAATATGTTTTTTTAATCTTTTGGATTTAAGTAAAAACATTGAAACACAGTAAACACCACTATTCCATATCGCAACCCTCTACATTGCGAGTAATGAGAGAGAGAGTCTTACATAACATGCAGAATTGATGCGCTACGTGTAAACGATATTCTTTGTTGTATTCTCCTGTCAAAATAAGAGTTCCATTGGAATTCTTCAGCTTTTAAGAACTGCCGTGTTCTCCGGTAGTGGGCGGAACTAATGCGCAATGAAATCTCATTGGCGAGTAAACAAAAAAAATAATTTACTAGCCAATGGCGATTCAATTGCCAAGGTGTCCGTAGAGGGTTGATATGTCATGTCATTCCATGCATGGACATACCTGGCAGCTGTCACGTTTGATTTCAGGTGAGAGGGTCAGAGCTCTCCTCCGGTCCAGGGAAAAATGACAGGAGTTAGACAGAAGGCGGTTACGGGTTTTGTCATGTGGCATTCTGCAAACAGATGTTTGAAATCCCAGATAAAGCAATGAAAATGAACAAAGACGGGGCAGGATCAGAACCTAAATATAGCAGTCCTAAAAGCGCTAAATTTATACATTATATCATTAGATGATTTTCACAAATAGCCTGAATCAAAATCTCAGTTACATTATATGCTAAATATAACTGTTCGTATCTGTCAATGCATTGAAACAATCAACATTAGCACACATGCACATTAAAGGTGCTCCTAACTGACCTGTAGCTAAATACAACGTCCTATTATTCCTTCATCTGGTTTCAGTTTTTATATATTACACCTACTTTTTAAGTCCCGGAGTCAGTTTAAACTGTAGAACATGGCAAATGAAGATAATTGAGCTGATGAACAGAAAACGAGCACATGAATATTGGGATTATATTCCTCGATTAAAAACTTCCGCCACTCACAGGAAGTCACACGTTCTTCTTCTTTGTGAAAAGCGTACTCTAGAAAGGTAGTGTGCGCCATCTAGCGACATGGAGAATATGCTAAGTGCTGTCTGTGGGTTGAATACAATGTATGTCCAAAAGTAAGCGGGCTCTCAAACACCACATCAATACTTGGTTTTTAAAGCATTTATTTATTTATTTTTATCACACTGACATTATACGGAGTAAGTTCTCTGTAAAAGCTTCTTCATGTAAAGCTTTTTTATTGTGTGTTGGAACAGCAGTGGGGATTTGGGCCCATTCAGACATAAGATCATCAGTGAAGTCAGGCACTGACAGTCAGCAATCCAATTCATTCCAAAGGTGTTAAATAGGTGTCACGTCTGGGCTTTGTTCTGGTTTACATTTCCACACTAGTGTCAGTAGAGGGGCATAAGTCATGCTGGAACAGAAAAACTATTGCACCCTCAAACAATATAACACAATATAAACTATAAAATCTAATATCTTTTCGCTTCATTTCACTCCTGCTTTATGTTTCTTTTAAAGGCAGGGTGGACAGTTTCTGCACTTCTAGTGTCATCTAGCGGAACTACAAAAATAAAGCCAATTTCCAAACAAGCTTTTTGCAGGTCACAGCTCTTAGGGATATATAAAAGTGAAGGCCTGTCTCAACAGGTAAAAGTAGACTACTTTCAATAAAAGGTCCAACATATTAGGAACACCTTTTACTTGAAGTTTAACTCACCTGTCGAGAGGAAACTCCACAACTTAGTTGTCGAAACACATACATTTCATCAGATTTCTCCATCTTTTAAAAACAGTACCAGTGTTTACCCTTGTTTTACCCCATTGTCTGTCTCTCTGTATTTTGGCAAGTCTTCGCATTTTGGCTTGCACTTCTGTAACGAAATCTAAACTTATTTTTCCACACCATTGGCTAAACCTCCTCTAAACATCATTCGTTTATTTATTTTCTCTACTTTTCTGTCACTACCGTTTTGTTGTGAATGACTGTGCAGAGTGTGGTGTCAAACTGAGTGTGGGTACTCAGGTTAGAAAAAGAGCATGTTCACTCTCCCCACTTACATTTCCTGCCAATACTGAGAACTGAACCTATGCCTTTTTGGTAAGTCTGTCTGTCTCTCTAACCATTACCCAAGAAAGACTGAGGAGGCACCTAACCTCAATAGCTCCCGGGCACTGAAGCAACTGGTTGCCCACTGCTGTGCGCCCACAGTGTGTGTGCTCACTCATGT